ATATGACTTCTCTGGTTACACACACTCAGCTCAAACCATAGAGTTAGGGGAAGTTCCTGAGAATGATCAGCGTGTCTTCTGGTTTTAGTTTCAGGGCCATTCCCAGAGAAACTCCAGTCACACCAGTTCTTCTTTTTAACCAACCGCAGTGGGATCTCCATGTTAAGACAGGAGAACAGCTGTGGCTTGGGCAGCCTGTGGGGTCCACTGCCAATAAGACCAGGATTTATCACCGGTGCACAAACTAGCTTTTTAAAGCCTAGAGAGACATTCTTTGCTCAGACATGGTAAAGTGCGGAGGGGTTTGGCCTTGCCTCAACTTGATATGCCAGACTTTGTAGAGTACCCATGGGAGGCCTTACCCTAAAGGAGAAGTGGAAGAGGGGCTGGGGGGAGGTGGAAGTGAGTCAAAGAAGGGGGGAGGGAGAACTGTGTTTGGTATGTAAAATAAAAAAGAAACTTTTAAATAAAAAAAATTAAAAAGACAGGCGAACAGATTCCGAGTATTAGGGGAAGAATACTTATCCAGAAACAGGGCATGAAGAGCAATAGGGTGCAGTGTTCCCCCACCTCATCCACCATCCACTCTTGGCTACACCTCGTAGATATAGATCCAGCCTTCCAGCCTGTAGCACATAAACCTGGTAATGGGAGAGTGCTCACCTGAGTTTTCTCACCCTTCTTCTCCCACAGCCCCTACTAAGTGGAGGAGTAGGTGCTCTACATGCCCAGGGCCAGGTCCCACCACAGGAAGGCTCCAATTAGCACTATCTTTACTAGGCCTGGCTCTAGATACTATATTTCTGAGGCTTGAAATAACAGGTAAAGGTATAGGAAATGATGCTCTAGGCGGGGCAGTATGCTCTTTTCCTCTGCAGATTTCTCAGAGGAGCAGAAGCACCCACTTGTCTCAAACTTCACTCTTCTTGCCGTTGATCTTACCTCATTGAGAAATTTTCCACACAATGAGCAATTCTTACTGTGTCACAAGCCCCACTGGCCAAACTAACATTCACTACAAGGTACCAAACTCAGATGACTCGTTTGATTCTGTTTGTTTTATTATTATTATTTAATTGAAATTTTACATACCAGTCCTAGTTCCCACTCCCTTCCTTCCTTCTTCTCCCTCCACCTTCTCCCCCACTCCACCCCTATCCGCTCCTCAGAGACTGTAAGGCTTCTCATGGGGAGTCAACAACATCTAGCATATTGCTTTGAGGCAGGATCGAGACCCTTCCAACTATATCTAGGCTGAGCAAGGTATCTCTCCAAAGAGAACGAGCTCCAAAAACCCAGTTCAAGCAGTAAAGATAAATCCTGGCCCCACTGTCAGTGGCCCCTCAGACTGTCCCATCCATACAACTGTCACCCACATTCAGAGAAAAGTAGATTTCAATAGAAACTTGAGGTTCACAGAAAAACTGAACAGAAAATGAATAGAGTTTCTGGTGTCCTCCCTGCCCTGCTCTGCTCCACTAGTGTGGTCTACTTTGTAAAAAAGCTACAGATACACTTTGCTGTCATCAGGATCTGTAGTTCATATTGTGCTGTGTACCAGGTGGATCGAGCAAATGTCTAGTGTCATGTATCTACCATTATGAAACCATATGGAGCGGTTTGCTGAACCTGAAAACATCTGCAATCCATTTATTTCTCTCTGTATCTCGCTGTCTCTGTCTTCTGTGTGTTTTTCTGTAGATAGAACATGCATTGTTATTTTTCTCATTGCTGTGGCAAGATACCTAACAAGGGCAATTTAAGGAAGGATGGGTTTATTTTAGGTTGTAGCTCCAGGGTACAGAACATCATGGCAGAAAAGTTATAGGATCAGGAGCCTGAGTCAGCGGGTCACATATCTGCCAGTCAAGAGGCAGAGGTGAATATTGGTCCCTAGATCGTTTTCTCCTTTTCATTCAGTCCAGGAGGCCACAGTAACCAACATTTGGGACAGGTCTTTTCTGCTTAGCCAAATACTGCTGGAAATACCCTTATAGCAGTGATTCTCAACTTTTCCTTTAATACAGTTCTTCAAGTTAAGGTAATCCACAATCATATTTTCTTTGCTATTTCATAACTGTCGTTTTGCTACTATTATGGGACATAATGTAAATAGCTGATATGCAAAATGTCTGATATGTAACCCCTGTGAAAGGGTCATTTGACCTCTCCAAAGAGGTCAAGGCCCAAAGGTTAAGAACTGCTGCCTTATGGGAGAGGGTAAAGGTGAGGGGAGAAGAAAGTAGAGGAGTGGAGAAAAACATATAGCTCGATTAAAAAAAAAAAGAAGGAACTGCTGCCTTATAGACACATCCAGAGGTGTGATTTCATGCTGTTACTAAATTCCACAAAATTGACAATGAAAATTAACTATCACAGAACGCAAGGTTTCATACATGCTAGGCAAGCACTCTAGTTCTGAGATACAACCCCAACCACTTGCTACTTCCATGAATTTTATCTAATTCAGAACATCTTACAGTTGAATCAGATAATTTGTGATTTTTTTGAGACTGTCTTCTTTCACTTAGTAATGTACATTTTTCTCCAAGTCCATGAACAAGTTTTGTGGGGGCGGGTGGCAGATTGTAAGGATCAAGACTGCTTGGTCTTCAATGGGACAGAATTAAAGACCCGGATATCAATCCACACACGAACACCTGATTTTTGACAAAGAAGCAAAAAATATAAAATGGAAAAAAGAAACCATATTCAACAAATGATGCTGACATAACTGAATATCAACATGTAGAAGAATAAAAAATAGATCCGTATCTATCACCATGTACAAAACTCAAGTTCAAATGGATCAAAGACCTCAACATAAAACCAACCACACTGAACCTCATAGAAGAGAAAGTGGGAAGTATGCTTGAACATGCTAATACAGGAGACCACTTCCTAATTATAATTTGAGTAACACAGACACTGAGAGAAAAATTAATATATGGGACCTCCAGAAACTGAGAAGCTTCCGTAAAGCAAAGGACATGGTCAGCAAGACAAAACAGCAGTCTACAGAATGGGAAAAGATCTTCACTAACCCCACATTGAACAGAAGGCTGATCCCCAAAATATACCAAGAACTCAATAAACCATTCTTTTGATGAACAAATAATCTAATAAAATAATGGTGTACAGAACTAAACAGAAAACTCTGAACAGATGAATCTAAAATGGCTGAAAGACAAGGAAATGTTCAGCATCCTTAGCCATCAGAGAAATGCAAATCAAAACAACTCTGAAAGTCCATCTTACACTTGTAAGAATGGCCAAATCAAAAACATTGATGATAACTTATGCTGGAGAGGATGTGGGGTGAAGGAAACAGATAACCATTGCTGATTGCAGTGAAAACTGGTCCAGTCCCTTTGGATGTCAGCATGGCAATTTCTCAGAAAATTAGGAAACAACCTACCTCAAGACCCATTAATACCACTTTTGGGTATATATCCAAAAGATGATCAATCATGCCACAAGGACATGTGTTCAACTATGTTCATGGCAGCACTGTTTGTCATAGCCAGAACCTGGAAACAACCTAAATGCCCCTCGACTGAAAAATGGATAAGGAAAATGTGATTCATTTACAAAATGGAGTACTACACAGCAAGAAAAAAGGACATCTTGAAATTTGCAGGCCAATAGATGTCTCTAGAAAACATCATATTGAGTAAGGTAACCCAGACCCAGAAAGACAAATGTCATATGTACTCAGTTATAAGTGACTTTTAGACATAAAGCAAAGAAAAACCAGCCTATTCATAATCCCAGAGATCATAAACATCAATGAGGACCCTAAGAAAGACATACATAGATCTAATCTATATGGGAAGTAGAAAAAAACAGGATCTCCTGAGTAAATTGGTTGTGTGGGGACCATGGGAAAGGGTAGAAGTGGAGAGGAGAGGAAGGGAGAGAAGTGGAGAAAAATATATAGCTCAATAAAAACAATTTTTTTAAAAAAAGATCGCTTGGTGTTATAAAAATACTCTTGCCTTTGTAAGATAACTTTGTAAGATAACTGCCACACCACATTGGATCTTCACAGCCCATAACCGCATTCCCACCACTCTGCATCCATCCTAGTGTGCATAGTTGCCTCTGCTATGAATCTGGTCGCTAGAACAGGTGTTCAATGAAAACTTAGTTACTGAGATGGTAGAAGGGCTGCAGCTTGGGAGCAAGGGTCAAGCAGATCTCTGTGAGTTCAAGTCCAATCTGGTCTACAGAGAGAATTCCAGGGCAGCCAAGAATGCACAGAGAAACCTTGTCTCCACAAGCAAGCTAACAAACAGCATGGACAGCTGAAAGGACTGCAGAAACACTGGCTCTAAAGTCAAGCTCTATAGTAAGTTCCTCCTCTGCTTCAGTCTCCCACAGCTTCAATGACCTAAGCAAGTCACTTCCCCTTGTAGATTTGCTTACTCATGAGACTCTCCTTTCTTTGAAATCAACCAGCCAAGAGTCACCAGTTGCCCATCACAAGCTCCATGCCTGAAGTTGTGAGTTCACTTGAAGGTCTGTGTAGCGGGAGTTTTCAGTGTATCTTGTTCACATCTTAGTGGATCAGGACACGGGGATCGTGGCTGGAAATGAGACCAGGCTATAACTTTCAGAGGTCCACCTCCAGTGGCCTATGTCTACCAGCTCGACACTGTATCCCAAAGGCTTCGTAGACTTCCCACTGGTCACCAAGTGCTGAAAATCTGAGTTCATGTCAGTCACAGCAAACATGCTGCTCTAACTCTCCACAAACAATCTAACCTTAAGGCCTCGACCCTTTACTCTGTGGGAACTTAACAACCTGAAACCCTAAGTATCACCAAAGAAAGACATTTCCAAGCTCCTCCCAGAAACCAGCACAAATCTCTGGGAAGCTAATGGTAGTCCCTGTACCATAGAGAGTACTAGCTATATATAAGGTTTGTTTTGTTGTTTTGTTGGGGGTTTTTTTTCGGTTTTTTGTTTTGCCTTTTCTCTCAATTCCCTTGTTCTGGACTTAAACACAGAAAATTTTTTACATGGAAAAATTTATTTTCTTATCTGTTCTAGTTCCATTTCTATTGCAATGATTAAATGTACAGACAAAAAGCAAATTTGGAGAGAAAATATTAAATTTTAGGCTGCAGTTCCAGGTTACAGTCTACCACAGCCCAGAACTCACTGTGGCAAGAATTTGAAGCACCTAGTCACATCATATCTATATTTAAGAACAGGGAGAAATAAATGTCAGTGTTGGTTTGATTTCTCCACTCTTATTCACTTCAGGAGTCCCTGATTAAAAAAGGGTGCCACCCACTGCCAGTTGAATCTTCACACATAATTAACTTAAAGCAAGCCCCCAATACCTGCCCACAGACCAGTCCAATGTAGAAAAATCCGTCAATGATAGTATCTTCCCATGTGATTCTAGGTTTTGTCTAGTTCACAATCAAAACTAACCATCATATTCTCTCTGGACATAAGAGTAGAACCTGTGGCTGGGCAACTGCTGGGTGTGTCCAAATCAGAGACATCAGCTGTCACTATGTTGAAATCCTGAATGGTCTGCTGCTGTGGGAAGAGGTGGATGACTTTGGCATTGTTCTGGACCATAATCATGTCCAGAACATCATTACCCTTGGTTTGAAATGGTCTTCTCAAAACTAAAGAGATGGTTTTGTGTCTAAGAGTGCTTACAGCTCTTGCAGAGAGAGAATCAAAATTCAAATTCCAGTGCCCATGTATGGTGTCTCACACTCACCCATAACTCTAGCTCCTGGGGATCTGATGCACTCTTCTGATCTTGTCAGATACTAAAAACATGCACATGTGCATGCACACAGACAGACAGACAGACAGACAAAGACAGATACCTATATGGAGAGGTACACACAGAGAGAAACAGAGAAGGAGGGAAGAGGAGTGGGAGAGGAAAAATGAGATATGTACATAAAAACAAGTATCTCTCCATCTAAACAAAATCCATGGGACTCAGAAGGTGGCCAAGAGGGTTAATCTAGAGAGAAGTTAGTTAGAATCTAACGTCCCAAATACAAGTTTAGACTCCAATATCATTTCCACAGTCACCCTAACACCCTTTGTCCCTCTAACACCACCTCTCTTGCCTGATATGGGCCAGCCTTCACAACTTATTATAAGGACGTGCCTACCCTTCTGTTCTCAAGCTACATGGACTTAGTCCTCAAAGGAAATTCAGACTTTACCAAGGGAAAATCAGGAAATAAACACAGTAAGCATAGTGCTGTCTCCCTAGCCTCACCTTAGCCAACAGTTGTACAGGTTATGGTCATCAGACGTTCTGTCATAACTACCTACGGTTTTCTTATCAAGCATTTCCCCTTTCTTAGAAAGTGTTTCTTATTGATTCGGTTCCTCCTTACCTTGATTGGGACATAGCAGAGAACTGTTCTGTTAAAGTATCTTTGTGCCTGCCCATGTCCTCCATGAACACCATCTCTGACCCAAGTGTCAGGTAACACTAGCTATCCTGACCTGCCAAGAGAGATTCTAGTTGCCAAATCTGAAGCAGGGTTGAATTTAAACATGGCATCATGGTGCCAGGCATGCCTAATAAAATAGGGAACGTTAAGTAAGCCACCTTTTCATGAAACCTTGTGTAGTTGTGTTCATTTTTCTGATCAACTGGTACATCTTCACCGTCGTGGCTATGGAGGGACTTACCTATGTGTACTTGACACTTGAAATATGCAACTCAAGGAAACTCTCAGCCTGAAAAAGATACACAACAAACTTCCTCAGAAATTATGTAACTTGAACTAGTACTAGACTCTTTAAAACTGAACCAGCCTGGGGCTGGAAAGGGTAGCTAAGTGATAAAGAATGTTTACTATTCTCGCAGAGGACACCTACAACAGGAGGCTACAACTATCTTTAACTCCAGCTCCAAGTGGCATGATGCCATTTTCTGACCTCCACAGACACCTATATGTACATGCACTCTCACACAAGCTCACACAAAGATATAAATAAAATCTTAAGTAAACAAGCTAAACAAGGTGGGCTTTGTTCATTCTTTGGCGCTGTGAAGCCACCATGTGGATATTCAGCCTGGCATCTGGAATTCCTGGGGTAACTGAGGTAAGCATAGCTTCAGTGAATATACACAGGCAAAGACTACACCCAGATGACATCCTTTTGGTGAATATCTCCCCATCTTCTGACTCCTAAATTCTTTGGGCCCCCTCTTCTATAAAGTTGCTTTATATTTTAATATTTATTTGACTTTATCTTCATTTTTATCTTTATCTTTGCCTTCATTTATGCATGCCACATATATGTAGTACCAACAGTAGCTAAAAAAAGGGACATCAAGTCCCCTGGAATTAGAGTTACAGACAGCTGTTGGAAGGCACCATGTGGGTACTAGCAACAAAATGAGGGTCTCTATCAAGAATGGCAAGTTCTCTTAACTGCTGAGCCATCGCTCCAGCCCTTCTGTGGTGTTCCTTGAGCCCTGGAGGAAGTGATAAGCTGTCCAACTGAAGTCTGAGCTGTCCACCAACACTGACCACTTTGGTCAGTTACATGTTTCTGTGTTAATAGACGCCCATTGCGTTAAAAAGAACTTCTCTGGTGGTTTGGACTTACCTTTTTTTTTTCATTCAAAAATTTACACTTCCTCCCATCTTCCCATTCCCCTCCCATTCCCCCACTCACTCTCCTCCCTTCCCCTCCCTCCTTAAGAGAGGGCAGGGTACCCTGCCCTGTGGGAAGTCCACGGCCATCCCCCCTCCATCCAGGCTTAGGAAGATGTGCATCCAAATGGACTAGGGTCCCAAAAAGCCAGCACATGCAGTAGAAACAGGTTCCAGTGCTATTATCAATGGCTTCTCAGTCCGCCCCCATTGGGCTTTATCTTTAAGAAAATAAAAAGAGATTCTAAACACACATGTTTCCCAATCATGCTATTTGTCTAAATATATCTGCAGGACCACTTCATGGACTCAGAACTGCAGAAGGCAACAAAAAGAGCAGCTGTTGTTGCCTAGCTCCTTCTATACTCCAGACACATTTTAATCCCCTACAGGCAGTTTACTTAAATCTCACTACAAACTAGGCTTGCTTCAAACTTGCAACAGTCTTACCTCCACTTCCAGCATCCTAGGATCGCAGGCATGCACCACAGTACCCAACCTCAATATTTATTCTATTTTGTTAAATGTGTTTCAATTGCTAGACCCCTTTATAGATGAGCACACTGTAGATGCACTCAAAGGGTTTATTCATATGATCTGTGTTGTGCATGAAGACATGGGACTGGATTCACACCTGCTCAGACATTCTACCCTAACCTTTTACTGCTCTGCCATTACCTTTAGTAAATGAATGGTGGGAAAACAGGAGTAGTCTAAGTGGGGAGTCTAAGTCTAAGTTGCCTCCCAGTACTGAGTTTAGGTACATAAACTGAGATGGCGACCGTGGAGACATAAACACACACACACACCTTCCTGCCTGGGGAAACAAGCTAAGGGAAGCGTTGGCTCCCAGAAATAGCTGACTAGGTTATTTTTTTCCTCTAGTTTTAGTTTGTGTTAGATGAAATGGATTTGTTTATAGTTTTAGTCAGAACAGAGAGGAGAAAAAACATCTATTTCTCTCCACCTTACCCTCAACCGTGCTTCTGTTTCTAGAGAAGATTAAACAAGATACCAGTGGGTGAGGGCTCCAGGTAGAGCCTGAAAGGCAAGCACCATATTCAGATTCCGCAGAGGAAGGAGATAACCCACTCCTGAGAGCCATCCTCTGACCTCCATGTGTGCACCATGACACATGCCCACGCAGACTTACACACACAGCATGTGCACAAATGCATATTAATAATGAGTATTTTTAAAAGAAATTACTAAAAAAATCCATGAAATATTTATATGCAAATTTCACCTAAAATTTCTTTCCTGTGGGACAGTTCCTCACACAGATCTGCCCTCACACAGCTCCCTCACTCAGCTTCCCACATAGATCTCTCCTCACACAACCCCCCACAGCTCCCCACATAGATCTCTCCTCACACAGCCCCCCACAGATCCCCACATAGATTTCTCCTCACAAAGTTTCCCCACAGCTCCCCACATAGATCTCTCCTCACACAGCCCCTCTATCCCATATCAGAAAATTCTGATGTCACAGGTCAGAATTTCCTAGAGAATTCTTAATTTTAGGTCATGATACTACCTCTCTTCTTTTCTTTTCTTTCCTTTTCCTTTTTTCTTTTCATTTCTTTTCTTCCTTTTCTTAAAAAGTGCAGCCATTAATCCCACATTTGCAAGGAGAAAGACCATTGACTGCATGTTATACCCAAATCAAAGCAAGCTTTATTCTGTGTACACCAGAGCTGGTCCAGTGGTTGTCTTCCATTAACACAGGGTTCAAAAGATCAGCTAGGGTCAAGTCCTCAAGCACTTTTTATAGGCCAAAAGCATACAGGGATGGGGGATTTCACAAGCAAGCCTGGTTACAGAAGTGAGACCAGGCCTTTAAGAAAATCTTCCTGTAAGATTTGTTACAGAATGGTCTATGACTACAGGGGTACGGTACTTCCCAGCTTATGTAATACATGCTAAGTTTTACAGTAAGCAGAAACCTGACTAAGCTAGAGTGTCAAAATAGCTCCTGATTACAAAATAGAGGTGGGCTTGTTTTCTAGTCTTCAAGGTCTAGCTGTCCTGGAACCCACTATGTAGACCAGGCTGCCTTGACTCCTTTCATGTCTGGTCTCTGACTTGGGAATTTGTAGGTTTTGTATTATCTACTGCTGAACTGATATGAAAATCCATGAAACATGGCTATGTTAAAAAGAATACAATAAATGGGAAAAGAAGTAGCAGAAATCAGCTTGGTGGTGGCGCTGCACACCTTTAATCACAGCACTTGGGAGACAGAGGCAGGCAGATCTCAGTGAGTTCGAGGCCAACCTGGTCCACAAAGCCAGGACTGTTACACACACAAACCCTGTCTCGAAACCCATCCCCAAAAAAGGAGCAGAGGTCAGAAGACTCCAGTTGGCATCAAGTAACCATGTGATACACTTCCTAGGAACCCCTCTGCTTCCGTTAGTTTTGAAGGGTTAATACAAGTGACTGTGTTTTGTTTTTTACTTGTGTGTTTGTTTTAAGATTGGCTCTTGAGGGGATCAGGCTGGCCTGGAACTTGCTATGTAGTCAAGGAACTTGTGATCTTCCTGCCATCTCCACCTCCTGAGTTCTTTCAGGTGTTCACCGTGACTTCCACTCTAAGCAGTAGAAGAACTTCAATTGAAAGCTTCCTTCATACTTTCTAAGTAAACACCCTTCCAACTGAGCCACATCCCCAGCCCCAAAACTCCATTCTCCTCCATTGGGAAGGGGGTTATCATTTCATTGTTTGAGGTGGTTTTGCTACACAATTCAGGCTGACTTCAAACTCAAAACTCTCTGCTTTTTTGCACCATTGTGTTCATTATCAATTCATTTTGATTCTGACTACTTTGCCCCTTATCTATGAAAGCACTGCTGACTAACCATCCTATGGTTTGGTCTTAACAGTCCTAAAGCACAACCTAGGTTACTTTAGACTAAGCCTTTCACCGTTGAAAATAAAATGGATGGGGGCACTGGAGAGATGTCTCATTAGGTGAGAACACTGGCGGCTCTATGAGAGAATGAAGATTTGATTCCCAGCACCTACAAGATGCCTTACAACTATCTGTAATTCTAGTTCTAGAGGATACAACACTCTCTTTTGTCTTCCAAGGTCACCAAGGCACATGTGCGGTGCATAGACATAAAGGCAGGCAAAACATCCATACACATAAAAATTAATTTTTTAAATGGATAGAGATACAGTTTGGTAATAAAGCAAGTTGTCTTAGCATGTTCTAGCCCCTGAGCTTGATTCCCAACATTGACAAAATAGGGGAAAAGAACAAAGAAGACAGAACATCTGTTTGTACCTTGGAGTCTCTCCAAGGCAGACAGAGGAAATGTTTGCAATTTTAGAACAAGGAAGGAAACTCAGAGAGAAGTTCATGCTTGGGGTGAGTATACAACAGCTTTAGGGTTTCCTGTTTCTGAAAATGAAAGTAGGAGTCAAGGGACAAAGAACCGAGAAGGAATGGGACCTGGAGGGTCATCAAAGGAATAGAAGGCACAAAACTAGATAGGCAGAAACATCAAAGATGAACGATGTAGCTACTGAAATTATGAAACTTCGTCAGTAGGTGAGGTTCACAGCAACTTGGGCTCAAGTGGGGAGAAAGGACTAATTGAAGTAGAGGTAAGGTCTATCCTCCTCTTTGGCTTTAGAGAGGAAAACAAAAGACACTGCTCAAACTAAGGCATAAAAATAAAATGGGAACAAAAACGTCCAGTTACATTTGTGATTCCATCACTTAGGTGGCAGAGGAAGGAGAATCAAGAGTTGAGTATCCTAGGTTGCATCTTTAAAAAACAAAAAACTGGGGATTGGAGAGATGGCTCGATGGGTAAGAGCAGTTGCTACTCTTCCAGAGGATGCAGATTTAATTCACAGCATCATGCAGAGAATGCAACTATCTATAACTTCACTTAGAGATGATCCAGTGTCCTCTTCTGGCCTGCATGGGCACTAGGCATGCATGTAGTGTGGAGACCTATAAGAAGGTAAAACACCCATGCACCAAAACATTTTAATGGAGCTGGAGAGATGACTCTACAGTTAAGATCACATATAGGGGATCTGGAGTTTGGTTTCCAGCACCCTATCAGGTGACTACTGTAACTGCGATTCCAGGGGCGATGCCCCCTTCTGAACTCCATGAGCACCTGAACATACACACATTCAGACTCAGGCACACAGACACATAAAAATCTGTTTTAATTTGCAAAGACAATATCAGGCATGCAGACATGATGGTGTCTTACACGTATATAAATGGAGGGGAGATGGGAAGGAAAGAAAGAAGATAGAAGGAGAGAGAGAGAGAGAGAGAGAGAGAGAGAGAGAGAGAGAGAGAGAGAGAATATGGAAATGAGACAGGCACACTTCTAAACTGCTCTCCCTAGGGTCCTTCCTGAATCAGATAAGAATTTCAATCTCCTAATTTTACAGTCTAAAATAAAATATAGCACTATTCTCTTCAACTTTCTTTTCCTCATACCTCAGCAGATTATGTGGATTTCCTACTCACAGTTCCCCAAAGCTGGCACACATCTTATACCCTCCACGCTTCCATGCTCACCTATCACCTGCAGCATTGCAAATACTCCCCCTGGTTTCTCCTAAAATGTTTACCTTTAATCTGTCCTGGATATGGTAGCATACTTAGTCTTTTAAAAGTTTCTCAATTCTCTTGAGAATTGGGGCCATCCTGGCAGACAGGGTGACAGATGAAGTAGTAGATATGAGGTGCCAGGAACGACACCCATGCACTGTGCCAGCCTAGTTCGCCTCTGAGTTTGTGCTCATCCAGATGAGAGAGGGTAATGCGCCAACTTCATGTCTGTCATTCTTGGAAATCATTCCCTTGAGAGCAAGCCTTTGTCAGGAGCAGGAAGGAGAGGCTAGGAAGATGACTCAGTGGGCAAAAATTTCTAAGGAAGCAGGACAACCTGAGTTCGATCCCTAACATCTCCAAAAGTCAGATATGGTTGCTCATGTCTGCAATTCCAGCACTTTTACATTGAAATGAGCTGCAGAAGAGACAGGAAAATCGTTCAGAAGCAAGGAGACAGCAAGGGAGACCCCGTCTCATTGAGCTGGGAGGAGAGGACCAATGCAGGAAAGTTTTCTTCTGACCTCTACACACGTGCTGCAGCATACACATAGCATACTTGCGTTCTCTCTCATGCACAGAATAAATTGCCAAGACCTCACCCCTAGCTGAGGAGTCATTGGCAACTGATGGTTTCTTGGAAAAGGAGAATTACTGTTCTGTGGAGTAATGATGACTGATAGGCTGTCTGTGCCCCAGTGAATGACTTCCCACACATTCATACATGGGCAGCCACTACCTGGACCTAGTGATTTAAAACAAACAAAAAAACTAAATACAAAACAAAATTTTAAAAAAGCAGATATAAAACCAGAATGGAAGTATGTCAGGGGAAATCATGGGAAGAACTGAATGGAGGGAGTGGGGAATGGATATGATCAAAATACACTGTTTACATGTATGACATTTTCTAAGAATAATTAATTAGTATGAAAAAATATATGTAGGGGTAGGTGTGGAGGAACACCTCTTTAATCCAAGCACTCGGGAGGCAGGGGCAAGAAGATCTCTGAGTATACAAAGTGAATTTCAGGACAGTCAGGACTACATAGAGAAACCATATCTCAAAGCACAAATAAATACGTAAATAAAGATGTGTAACTGGATGCCATGGCATATGTCAGTCAATATTGATGTCAAGTCAGGTGACATTGCAAACATTCCTCTGATACTTATTTTCTTAAAAATGAACAAACATGCTGGGAGGTATGGACAATCTGACTATCTAACTGACAACTGTTAGTTAAGTCAAACAGACAGCCCAGCTATCCTTTGCCAATCCAAATTTCTTTGAATACTCTGCACAAACTTAAGGAAGCTGTGTAACAGTTGCAGCTGCCTTCTGTCAGCACACAACTCTGGCTCCTGAAGGTGCAGCCCCAGTCATAACTGTTTGCAAAGTCTACAGTGGGCTGTCTCTCCAACCATTTCCACCCAGGCCAGTGGGGAAATACTTCTCCTAGTGGTCCAGCCAAGAGAATGGTATGGTCAGTGCAAAAGGGACAAAGCTGTAGTTGGTGTGAACACTGTTGTGGGGTATCCACCAGAGAAGGTGGCTGCAACCATAGTGGGTATTCAAGAGCCCAGTATAGCCCTGAGTCTTTCTCATGGTGAATTTTTAAGCACAGAAACCATATTCTGGGTTGACATGTTTCAGTTAACAAGAGCATTTAGCCAGAAACAGAACTACAGAGGTGGAAAAGCAAAATGAGTACATTTAGAGATTCTTCAAGAATTATGGATTTTGGTGGGTTATGTCTTTGTTTTTATTTTGGCAGTGAGTGCTGTCTATGTGCTGGGTTTTATAGCCTGAATGGTACTTCCATCCTGGAATCAGTGTGTTCAGATCTGAGAGCCTGTTTAAATGATAGTAGATATAGACATTGGCATCACATGTTTATAAAAGTTTATACTATATACATCGTATATAGCTAAAGTTTACAACATGAAGCACCTTTAAAACAAATTTCATGCCAGGTGGTGATGGCAGCGGTGCACACCTTTAATCCCAGCACTTGGGAGGCAAAGGCATGCAGATCTGAATTCAAGGACAACCTGATCTACACAATGAGATCCAGGACAACCAGGGCTACGCAGAGAAAGCCTGTCTCAAAGATAGATAGATAGATAGATAGATAGATAGATAGATAGATAGATAGATAGATAGATAGATAGATAGATA